CCGAGCGGAGCGCAAATTGCGTGTTAAAACGCTGCGGGAAGCCTTTGCCGTTCGTTGTTTGTAATGGATCCTACAGCCACTTGGAACACAGTAACAGAATACACCGGGAAAAGGGGGCGGCGACGCAACAACCAGCGAAATTCGACGAGATTCGAGTGCTCGAAATATACCGATGATATTTCGTTCGGAAACCGCCGGTTTCCCGGTCGCGCGACTCGTCCGCGGTCGGAGGGTTCGAGTAGGTCTCGAAAGTCCGGGACCCGATGCGAGGCGAACGACGGAGCGACGGAATTCGGGCAGGAAAGTCAGCGTAATAAATTAAACGGCAGAGGAATCGTCGAATTAATAACCGTCGAAATCGCGCCGGCTTTTCGACGGAGCCGAGCCCACCAGCGGGCATTCACGTTTTCGAGTGCAGTTTCGGGGAGCTTCGGGACCGAATGTCGAACGTTGTGTGCATTGTACACAACGGTGTTTAATCGGTCTTGATGGGATTCGTCGAGCGTTCCGGTAATGGGTACTATCGAGCGTGGCCGGAGAGAATGCACAAGCAGCGGCGTTCGTCGATTCGGGTTTCCGCCGAAAGGGGAGCAACAAAATCGTAGGAGCCGCCGCGAAAAGTTTGCGCTCCGCATCCCGTCTCGTCTCGTCGCCTCGATCGAGACATTCCCTGCGAAATTTACCGAAAAATCGGATTCGCCGAACGAATCCTCCCGCGCGAAGAGCGACGCCGCTGCGAGGACTCGAAGAATTCGTTTATCGAGAAAATTCGTTAGCTTTACCTTTGAAATATATTTATTATCGAATCTCGCAGCGCGAGCCGACGAGGATTCCATCAGGCACAAATTGCAGCCGCAACGGAGATTACTTTAACGCATACCATTTTACAATCTCCGCAATAACAAAGTAGAGTGTACTCTGTAATTACTGGATGTTCCGGTTAAAGGGAGACGATGAAAAAGCAACTGCCAACGAATATTTAGTGGCGGACTCGCGCTAACGGCACGGTTTAAAACGATCCGTTCCAAGATTGTTATCTCGCGACTGTTGAAACGATGAAATTACCTTCGTGACAAATTTCAAACCAACCGTTCGTATTTGTGCAGCTGTAACACGGATACACTCTCGAGCGTATTCCGCGAATTCTTCGGATTACAAGTAACTCGGTTTTCTTGTTCGGTAGTCGCAGCTTTAACGGCGAGCTCCCTCCTCGATCATTTCCGACGTGCCCGGCAATTTCCCTCCGCCGCCGTGACGGAGTGTTATCGATTCACGTTCGGGCGAAGGTAACGAGTGTTCGTATTTCACTTACGGTGTCGTCGCGTCCGCGCCGCTCCCCGTGTCGCCCTGCCCGGTGAAAAACCGTGGCGCCGATGAACCGTGACCCCTTCCCGTGCGATTCCGATCCATTCCGATCCCGTCGTCCGCCGGAGTCGGACGTTACCTGGGAGTAAGGCGAGCGCGCGGCGTCTTCTCCTCCGCCTCGCGTTCGTTCCCATTGTCTCGCGGCGGGGATAACGTCCCACTGAATCCCGGCGAGCACTTCCGGCGAGCCGTGACTCCAAATTAAAAATGCTTTCTCCGCGAGATATCGCGCTATAACCGGGAATCTCCAACTGCGAGGAACAAACCCGGCGCGCGGACGAATGGCTCTCTCTCCTCGTTCCGCGCTCGGCGAGCGAGATTGTTTTCCGGTCCTCTCGCGGCGCTCGTTTTTCACCGGCCGGGAGGATGTTTCTTTGGAAGTTGCTCGAGGGGTTCGTGCACTCTCGATGATACCGGTTCTTTGCGCCGGCGACTATGGCCGGGTTCGTTAGTCGGGAGGAGCTGGGTTCGGATGTAGGTAGAATTAGAATCGGAATCGGAGCTAACGTTGGAGAATTCTTTATCTCTTCACATAAACATATAATTCTTCTTTTCGCTTCGATCATTCATAAAAATATACTCTACGATTCCTCCTGCGTTCGACGAGTGCACGCTCCATTTTTCGATTTCGTTGCGCGCAGAACGAGAGGTTTTCCCAACGAAACGCCACAGTTAACCGGTTTAAAGAGAGATTTCCGAACGGATCGGCTCGACGTGTCCGGTGGCGTTAAGAAAGGCCGCGTTGCAATGCGCAGCATCGCCGACACCGGCGACCCAGCCGCGTAACTCGTGCAATAAGATCAATGAAGGGGAAACGGTCGCCGGTGAATTTTCGCCACGCGTGTTACAGTCGCGAGGCAAAAAGCTGCCCCGGCCGCCGCTCGAAAAACGTTTCGCAGCCGGTTTCTCTTGTCAATCATCGGCCGGACGGCCGGCCGAGACGGTATCCCCGTTTCTTTCGGACTTTCTTTCGACGGGAGAAACGAATTTTCGCCTCATCGATATTCGATACTTTCGACACAGCCATTTCACCGCACCCTCGCTATTGTTTTCTCCCGGCGACGGCCGCGGTAAATATCTTTGCGAGCAGTTAGGACGGTCTCGCCCGTATTTCCACTCGCCCGCTACCCCTGGATGATGTAGCTCCGCTCTTTGCTCCCCCGGATACGCAACGCTGGAAATATTATTCGAAATTCGAGCGCTGCACGGTGTGCTCGAATACGTTTTCGAGATCGTTCCCATTGGATCGTGTGTCGTCGAAATCGGAGCACTGTGCAGTCGCTGATTAGGAAGTTAGAACCGTAATTTTCAACGTTTCTCGAATCCTCGAATCGAAAGGGCGAAATGTAATTTAACGGTCGTTTCTATTAACCACCGAGTCTTAGATTTCGTTCACTGTTAACACGTTGAACGCTAAATTTCGGCTACTAAAAACGCGAGCGTCGGTGATTATAGTGATACATTCTTAAGCATCGATTAAACCAAAATTTCTAACTTATGGAAGAGAATGAGGAATTCGATTTTGTAAATTTTACTTTGCTGTGTTATTCATATCTAAAATATTACATGAAGATAGACGACTCATTAGAATGCATCATTAGCGAGTTCGCAACAGAAACCAAAAGTAGACTGTAGCAGGTAGATTATCTTCCAATTCGAATCAGTCTGTAGAACGTTCTTCCCAGAAGCAACCGCTCGCCTCTCCGCCAGACGGACTCGAATTGTATCGAGCGCTCGTCTCGCCGATTCCACGATTCACTTATCCGTTCGGAAGCCGCTCTCCGTTCGAATTCTTTCCCCGGCGTTCTAAAGCGATTACGCCGAATGTCTTTCCGTTCCCCTTTCATCTCGCGTTTAATCCCGCGCCGTGAAAGCTGGCAAAAAGCGCGGAACAACGGGAGCGGCGGAGAGAGCCGGGCAAAATCGTGTTAGAACTTCTCGGGGATCGTTATCATCCGCGGGGACAGTGGGACGAAGTTTGACTCCGGCAAGTTTCGAAGGGGAGCGCCTTCCGCGGAACAGAGGACCTAATGGTATGCCATGCTACGGCTACTTAACACATCGGAACGAGCTCGAGGAAACGAAGAAGAAACCGGAGAAGTCGAAAGGCAGCGCGTCCTCGCGTAGAGAAGGGGACTTCTTATCTCCTTTCCAACCGCGTGTTCCCCGCGAGCGTGTTAACTCGTCGAAATTCAAACTTTCCAGCAACCTAGAAGACGTTCCTTCGCTCTCCACGACTCCGTTACCGGGGGGAAACAAGATAAGACTAGAAAAATCGTGCGGCGACGCGTTGCCCGTAGAAAGAAAGCTCGTCGGCTCGCCGACAGCGCGCTTCTCGCGAGCGTTCGACCGTTCCCAGACTCCTCTAAATCGCTGGAGACATCCTCTGCAGCGATAAACGAACCGAGGGAACACCGAGGAACCCCGTTCCACTCGATGATACGTTAAAAAGCCCATTGCCGCGGTGCTACGATAAAACAATAGACCGTGCAAAACGGTGCGCGCCCGGCGAATTTAATTGAATAAAAACAAAACGTTTGCGCCGCTCGGCAAACTTTCCTCCAAATATTCCGGC